ACATCAATTACATCATTCATTGCAACATGTACGATTATAGAGAATTAAATATTGGCAATTTACGTTCACGCTAATTCAACTTAATCTCTATTATTTAAAAAGGTTGGTGCGAAACTGATGTTCTATACGATTAGACAATAACAACAGCTGAAGTACAGTTGATTTGGTGTTTTTAGATGAAGCTCAATGTGTTTATAAAATTCCATTACTCCCTAACCTTAATCCAGGCTCGTTTCGCTTCAAAGAGACTTTTGTAAGGTCTTGGTCAGTTTCGATTTTCCAGATTTTCCATCTTGGTCAGAATAAGTTGCAACCGAACCAATTATCTTCTATGAAGAAGTATTTTTATGGTGTTATCTTGAACTATTGCTTATATCATATCTTGAACTATTATGCTTCCTTTTAATTAAAACAGACAGGCAGGAGTGATTACTTCCTAACAATAAGAACTTTCGTTTAAATAGTATTTTTCAAAACTGCAAGGATTCTAACCAAAATTACATATTACTTATACGTAAAAATGCTTATAAATAATTTCTTTGGAATTAAAATGTTCATGTAGTATACCTAAAAGCTGTCAGGCTTCAACACATTTGCGCTCAAAACATTTTCGAAACATTTGCCGATTTGCGCTCAAATTGTTCTGAGTTTTCAAGGCAGTAGGGTTACTATACCTGTTGCCAAGAAAAACTAGAGCGGACCAATGATGTTCTATTTTGGTTAAGCTGTGTTTGTACAGCTCATTTCGAGCGATGCGTTTTTATAGTATAATCAGTCACGTGACAATAAGCACGTTGAATGAAAATTTCATGTTGAAGTCAGAGCTCGAGGGACTTCACGAGTAATACGACTTCGCATTGGTATTGAATATTAGAAATGTTTATGTAAATTATGTTTGCTAACCTGTTAAATGTAATGCCTCTTTGCTAACCGGCTGTCGGCTGAAGACGTCTTGGAAACTCGTTACAAAGTAAGGCTACATACCCTAATTTATTGCTTTAAACTTATAATTATATTGTAAATTTATTAACTTTTAGATGGAATAAAAAAGGTTTAAAAACCATCATTGATATCCGATTTGCATGTTTGCTAACCTGTTATATCAGACTGTGTAAACAAGGGAATTCAAAACGACCGTTAAAGGGAAGCAATATGTTTGTTTTACTACTCAAGACCATCGTTATTTCCCAAGGCAAAGCACTGAAAGCAGAGTGAAATTTCGATTGTCAAGGGTCGACCATTTTCACAAATTTTCTTTCAACATTTCCAAGCGATTTTGATCTAAAATAATTTTTTTGAAGGGGTATAGGATAAAACCTACAAAAGTTTCTGAAGGGCCTAGGAAAAATGGACCTCATCTGTAAGAGGGGGGGGGGGTCTTTCAAGTACAGCCATTGCCATGGATGGTGTCATAAATAAATACAATTTAACAATGGGTTTGCAAGTTTACCTTTTAATATCTTCTGTATTCAAATCAGTTATTGATGACTTAAATTCACACTCATAGGAATATTTTAGTACATCAACCATCACATGTTTACAACAATTACACTAAATGAAAACCAGCTGCAGTAATTATGCAACTTGCAATCACCCTATTTTTGCTCAGAAATGAAGAAAAAATGTTGAACATGATCTGCATTGTTAATATAGTTTACTTTTAGTTGATTTACACTAGTGTTTAAGAATTGGGAATCCATTGTATTATTTTTGAATAGGAAAAGGTTTATTGGAATTCCAGATTCTTAAAACAAGATACTTATAGGATTGCATGCTGAGATTATTCTGAATTCTTTGACCTTGAAAATTTGTCTGAAGTATTTTTTGGTATGCAAAACAAGAGAATTGACACTCATTCTTAAAGATTTTGTTGCGTAATCATGCATTTTATATTCTTAGGAATTAGGATTCTCTGGTAAGTCTACCCAAGTTCAACAATGCTGAAATATTGTATGGAATATAATAAATATTTTACTATGTATTTTTTATATTCTATTTCTATCATGGGACTGAGAATTAAGTTGCATCACAACATTAACTTATAATAATGATAATTAATGAAGGCTATTTCTACCGAAGAAAATATAGAACATATGAGAGCTTCAAACTTTAAAGCAAATGTCCTTCAACTGAAAGTTTATAGCTTAGCTCGTGAAAAATAAGTGTGCTTTTAAACTTTAAAGTTAGTATATGTTTTAAAAATAAATCAATAGGATGCATTGAATTTGTGAGATTGGTGAACAAGGTTTGAAAATTATACTACAAAATATTAGAAGGTAAAATTTCTTAACCTCAGAATATTTATGTGCTGAGTACATAAAAAAATATTTGAAGCAACTGCCAATTAGACATTTCTGTAACAGCTGCTAATCAGCCTAATGAGACATGCAAGAAAAATGTGTTTTTTCAGTAAAACAGACCTGGTAATGTCTTTTAAAATCAGTAAATCAGCCTACATGTAAATGATGTAATGAGATCAAGTTGTCTTTTTGCCTTATGAAAGGAACTCTAAATTTTGAACAATATTTTGCTACATATCTCTAAATTATCTTACATGCAGAATAACTATGAATTTTGTAGTGCTGCAAAATGGACCTATAAGGCACAAAACAACAGTTGCAATCACATTCTTGTGGCTAGTGGATGTCCATCCTCGGCCAGAGGGGAATATGTAAGAACCATTGTTGAGGTTATTCATTTGCCTCAAAAAGATTTAGGGGGTTTCCATTAGAATTTTAGATTAATTTAATGGTGAGGGAAGGGGTTAGGGGTACTGAATATTTTGGTATCCTGGTGGGAAAACGGACACTTTCAAACCCGTCCAAAGTCAAAAGCCATGTTGTAGTTAAAATTATGCTGATTATCCTACTCTATTTTTAACCCGATTTTTTAAAAATGCTTTTTCAGACTTCGGTATTTCAATCTTGCAATTTTTGAGTATTTTTGTCCGGGGGCTGGACCCGACTTGGTCACTGGTTGTATTTGCGCTCAGTTGTTGTTAGATCACGTTACGAACTTACGAAGAGCAGCATGCCTTGATCAATTGAGCATGTTTTGAGCAATTTATCGCGATATTTTTCTCCTATTTCCATGTTTAAAACCGAGATATTATCAAGTGCGTCAAACGTAGACGGTTCAAATATGTTACTAAGCGAATTTAAGGAGAAAGTTCGAACAATATGGAAAGCCATGGCGCTCTGAACAAAGTCAAAGATTATAAGAATTTATAAACCACAACGTCTTTAAACCATTTCAAGGTGTGTTATTATCAATTTATTATCATCAGACTGGGCTCCTTTACAGGCGTAGCATGCAAAATATTATGGCTAATCTTTAGAAGAACAAAACAGTTCTATTCAGTCTTTGATAGATTTAACTGCTGCCGGCCCACACGCGTGGAAAATTGATATGTTGTCATTTCGCATGTGTTATTAACGTCTGTCAGTTAAGTGTATTAGGTGTCAGTATATTATAAGTCGAACCTAGCAAGAGCGCTAAACAAACTTCAGTAAATATTTGCAAGCAAATTCTATCCTATTTAGCTATGTTTGGTACGCGCTAACCAAAGTAAGTTGCAGTTTGTTGTTGTGTTAATCTGTTGTTTTTCTAGAGCCTGGTCTTCAATCGTGTAAATTGTATTCATGATTATGTGAGGTGCGCGCTTGCCATAATCTATGTAATTATTTTACAAATTATGCAGTTCGAACCCGTAATCGGTTAATATCTTGTGCCGCAACCATACCACAATTTATCTGCCGAACCTGAACTTCAATCAACCACAGAACATTGTATCATTTAACTCGTATGAAGGAGTAAACAAACAGTATTTAAACGCATAAATACAAAGAAAAAACAAATTCCGAAGAGACACAGGTTGAAACTGTAAATTTTCGACTTTATTTCAAAGTCATCTTCAGACAGAATGAAATACAATACTTTACAACGCATATATATATGAAACACAGAGAGAGAGGGCACGTGTCAATCCAGCATGTGGGCGGAAGGCCGGTGTCACGGTCTCAGAGCTCCCCCAGTCTCAACGCTCCCCTTGTACCTAATGCGCATGTGCATTGTAGGGGGATGACTGAGCACGTAGCAGTGCGGGCTCAGTTCTCCCCCAGTCTCAACAATCCCCCAGTATGGCTGGTTGCAGAATCGAAGCAAAAAACCGTCATATAAAACTTCATTCGCGTTAGTTTGATGCAAACTTATGTTTACGATCAACTGAACGTATACTAAAGGATATCTGTTGTGGATTTTGAATGGTCAATATACAGTATGTCGCGAATTTAGACTAAATCTCTAAATCATATGATAATGATAATATAAATATAAATAAATCATCAATGATGATAATAATTTATCAACAAAACACCGACTGACAGAGTGAGAGTATTTTTAAATGGCCACATTAATAAATTACATATTTTTTCTTTCTGCTTCTTACAGTCACTAGTATTTATTTATAAACTTCCATAATATTGATAAATTTAAAAAAGGGATTCTTTTATTTATTTATTTATAATTACTGTAATATCAGTCATTGTCAACCCCTTTAACTTTTTATATCTCTTTGGATTTTAGTATCTATCAGTCTCAGTCATCCCCTTCGCACTATCAGTCTCAGTCATCCCTTTGTACTACCAGTCTCAGTCATCCCCTTCATACTATCAGTCTGAGTCATCCCCTTCATACTATCAGTCTGAGTCATCCCCTTCGCACTATCAGTCTCAGTCATCCCCTTTGTACTACCAGTCTCAGTCCCCTTCATACTATCAGTCTGAGTCATCCCCCTCATACTATCAGTCTGAGTCATCCCCTTCATACTATCAGTCTGAGTCATCCCTCTTGTACTACCAGTCTCAGTCATCCCCTTTGTACTACCAGTCTCAGTCATCCCCTTCATACTATCAGTCTGAGTCATCCCCTTCATACTACCAGTCTGAGTCATCCCCTTCATACTATCAGTCTCAGTCATCCCTTTGTACTATCAGTCTCAGTCATCCCTTTGTACTACCAGTCTCAGTCATCCCCTTCATACTATCAGTCTGAGTCATCCCCTTCATACTATCAGTCTGAGTCATCCCCTTCGCACTATCAGTCTCAGTCATCCCCTTTGTACTACCAGTCTCAGTCATCCCCTTCATACTATCAGTCTGAGTCATCCCCCTCATACTATCAGTCTGAGTCATCCCCTTCATACTATCAGTCTGAGTCATCCCTCTTGTACTACCAGTCTCAGTCATCCCCTTTGTACTACCAGTCTCAGTCATCCCCTTCATACTATCAGTCTGAGTCATCCCCTTCATACTACCAGTCTGAGTCATCCCCTTCATACTATCAGTCTCAGTCATCCCCTTTGTACTATCAGTCTCAGTCATCCCCTTTGTACTATCAGTCTCAGTCATCCCCTTCATACTATCAGTCTCAGTCATCCCCTTTGTACTATCAGTCTCAGTCATCCCCTTTGTACTATCAGTCTCAGTCATCCCCTTCATACTATCAGTCTGAATCATCCCCTTCATACTATCAGTCTCAGTCATCCCCTTCATACTATCAGTCTCAGTCATCTCTTTTGCACTAACAGTCTCAGTCATCCCCTTCGCACATAGTGTCAGTACTATTCACTATTCATTCACCAAAATTTATTTTATTTACAAAATCAGCTTACTACTTATATACACTATAAACTCACTGCTTATTTACACTATGAACTTACTACTTATATACACTATAAACTTACTGCTTATTTACACTATAATACTACTTACAGTTGATACAATTAAACACTGTATTTGCATTAACAGTTTTTGGGACCTTATCACACGAACGATGAAACCAGCCCAAACATGTTGAGCATTCGATCATAAACTGACCTTCGACATATGGCATCCTGCAGTGGCACAATAGTTCAACAGTCTCTTTTGAACGACCATGTTCCAAATGACCAGACTGGCTTAATGGGAACAATGACAGTTGGTCGCACATGAAGCACATGCACAGGTGTACCCTCATCAGGCTTCTTCACTTGGGTCACGTCCACTGCATAAACTAATTGCAACTGCTGCAGCAAAAAGACCACAGTCAGACACACCTTCTTGCCTTTGCATTTTGGGCCACTCAATCACCATGTTTGGCAAGGTGGTGTTTAACAATGATGCCAATCTGCTTTTATCATGCCCAGACATTGTTCGATAAAGTGAGTCATAGACCTTTACAGTGTTCTTCCCACATCCAATATTTGTTACTGTCACCCAATGGCTTCCTCCTACATTCATTATTTGGACAAAGTTCTCTAGTCCTTTCTCCACTTTAGGGGTCTTGCTTTCAAAGGCCAACACTGAATGCAGGCCCTTTACTGCTGGAAAGTTCTTTGAAATTAAGTATTGGGTGTGGTCGATGTGCTCATCAGTGAGCCAGTACCCCTGCTGCATCATTGTTGATGCCAGATCTTCTGGATTTGCATTTGGAGTGCAATGTAGCACATTCTGGCTTGGAGACTTTTTTTTTCTGGACTTTGCCTTAACATTCCTCCTCCTGACTTCTTGATTTGCTGGCATGTCGGATGGTGGAGCTGGTGAGTCGGGTGGTGGAACTGGCATGTTGGACGGTGGAGCTGGTGAGTTGGGTGGTGGAACTGGCATGTCCGACAGTGGAGCAGGTGAGTCGGGTGGTGGAACTGACATGTCGGACGGTGGAGCTGGTGAGTCGGGTGGTGGAACTGACATGTCGGACGGTGGAGCTGGTGAGTCGGGTGGTGAAGACATCTCGGATGGTAGAGCAGATATCTTGTCTTGTAAGCTGATATCATGAAGCTCACTTGTCAGATAAGGTCGGAGCTGGTCATATGGCACCTTGTTCTTCAGTGGCTGTGCATTGTCTTCCCAAGATGAAATTGTAACCCTTTGATGGTTATCAATGTGCAGGACCCTTTATGAGAAAGAAGTATGACATAGCCAAATTACTTACAGTATTTGCCATGAAGAGTTAGGGGAGGGGCATTGAAGAAAACCACATTGAATTATTAGACATATGGTTGAAATTGTAAATAAAACAAGAAATCCATAGTATTGGCTAGGCAAGTTGTTCTTAATTATGTGCAACTTCTTCAAATTTGCACACAAAACTCACACATATTCAACAACATTTTTCTTACTTGTATGGACCTCTCCAAGTAGGTTCCATCTTGCCACCTTTTCTGGACTCATTCTTCATATACTTTTTGAAAACACCATCACCAACCTTGATATCAAAGGTTTTAACACCTTTTGCCTTTCGTTTTTCATACTGTTTTTTCTGCTTTTCTTGAGCAATTTCAACATTGCCAAGCACCTACATGCCAAAAACAAACACCAGATTATTTTTAACAAATTAGAATTTTTTGGAAGAAGAAATAAGTTGGTACACTACTGGATTATATTTTGTATTTGCCAGTCCATTGTATTACATACTTGTTTGCGTGTGTCTTCAGCAAGAGTAATTGCCTCATCAACCTGTTTCTCAAGTTCTTCTTCATCAAGGTCAGGTGGGGATGAACTGTCTGCCACAACTGTCATCTACAAAAATTATTACCAATTGTCAATAACTTATTGGTTATGGTCATGAAAGGTTTTATTTTTGTCTTTTACTAAATTGCCTTTTATTTAAGAGGGAAATTCACCCTGAAAACAAGACCACTTCACCATGGTGCATACTGCCTTCTTGTTGTTTTCTCAAACTCACATCTCATTAACAAAGTATGTTGCAGATACTCTACAGGTGCCCTGAAGGGGTTATTATCTTTCTTATAATTATTATAAAATAAATTTACCATTTGGGGTGAATTTGGATTTCGACCAAACATCAAAAAATACGGAGTGTATTTCGTTGTTGCCTGCTTTTGTGTTCTAATGGAATAGGCAATATCCTCTAGGTATTTGCTCCAGTCGTTTTGGTGGTTGTTGACCAATTTGGACAAACGTTGCTTCAATGTTTGATTTGTTCTTTCATCTAAGCCATTGGTCTGGGGGTGATAGGCACTGGTCACAGATCTTTTGATGCCAAACTCTTTGCAAACCTCATCATTCACTTTTGCAACAAATTCTCTACCTTGGTCGGAGAGAAGTCGAGCTGGTGCACCCCATCTAAATTTGCAATAATTCCAGAATTAATGGCACATCTCTTTAGTAGATACAGTAGCTGGTGCTGCACCAGCATTATGTTGAAAATTAATAAAAAAACTAGTCAATAACTTATACTACAATTTTGCTAATCTTCCTTTGAATATAGATTTTTTGGACTTGTTATAAAGATTGCCATTTAAAACCCAAAATATGACGAATGTCGTGTTAATATATTTTACTCTGTCTAACACCAGACTATTTTACTCTGTCAAGAGGGGAGATCCAGGGGTTAACCTTCAAGCACTGATGCAATATAACAGCATGCAAATGAGCATTACCTGCATGTAAATGTCTTGATGCATTTGGCAACACCATCTGCAGACTTTGTCAAAAGTGGGTAGAAATCTACAAACTTTGTGTAGTAATCCGTGAAGGTGCAGACATATTTAAAACCTTCCTCTGTTGTTGGTAATGGTCCTGGTGAGAAAGGAGAAATATATTAATATTTTATAGTCAAAGAAGTTTTGATAAGTTTTGCTGCTGGTTCATCAATGTTGTTGAATCATATTTTTGCACGTGTAACCATCTGTCTGACATAAGCGAGCTTTAGATCGACGACAAGTACGAAATCTAGTACGACTATGAGCTCTGGGCAGACACCAATGGGTATTCTGAAATTACTCTCAATTTAGATTCAGTGGTGGCACATATTATTTTAGTTGTTGTCGCTATGCTCTTATTCAAACTTACCAATCAGGTCTATTCCAACCAACTCTAATGCTTTGCTAACTTTGATTGGAATTAGCTCTGGGGCTTGGGTCTTAATTTTATTAAACGTCTGGCACCGATGACATGACATAATCTGTGTAAAAGAATAAACACTGATTTGTTATGACAAATAAAATACAACATTACAAAGCAATATCCTTCAATGACGTATTTAAATCTTGACTGCAACTCTGTCTTGCAAGACAATTTTACTGTCTAATGCCAGATAATTTACTCAGTCTATCACCAGATGATTTACTCTATCTTATGCCAGACATATCTACTCTGCTTAATTGCCAATCAATTTTACTCTTACTGTCTAATCCACAGAATTCTTAGGGAATTCTTAGGGAATTCATAATGAAACTTACATATTCTTGGACATCCTCTTTCATCCCATACCAATAATAATAATTGGATATTTTGTCCAAGGTGGCATTCACACCACTGTGTCCTCCCATGGCATTGCTATGGTGATGATGCAATACTTCAGAAATCTCTTCCATGGTAAGGAGAACTTTTTTTTTGGAAGCACCATCTTTCCCACCAGTGTACAGCTCATTATCTGAAATTTTCCGCTTCACTGTTAGTATTATTGCATTTATCAATTTTATGGGTGATTACTAGTAATACTATTTGTTGATATAAGTTGCCATGATGATGTCGATGATGATGATGAGTAATGCACTCGTACCACTGCACTGTTTATTAGATAAACAGGTATTTTACTACTGTTTAAGTGGAACAGTATCATCCTGTGGATAAATATAAAAATCTCGAAACATCGTAGTGAAATTTTATGTGTCTGATTATTATATGTGATGGCTGATGCATGCCTTGATCATGGCAGGATGAGAATCGATAAAAATATACAGTATTTAACACTCAACTTTTGCCTAGAATCTGATAATCACAGTGAATTATCTGCAAAATGTATTTACTTACTTTTTTCATCCAGAACATGGTTTTTAGCTTGTCCACGAACCACACGTTGCTCATTCTTCGTCAACCCAGGCAGATGTTTTCCATGCCGAAGGTAGTGAATAATTCGCTCACATTTCTTGCTCTGTGTAGCTAAACGATCAGTTCTGCTAGGTTTACACGCTCTTTCAGGCTGTGCATCAACAACATCTTGCTGTGGTGCCATTTTAACGTTAGAATTTCGGTTTATTTGCGAAAGAATACAGTTGTGTTGTGCTGTCGAAAGCTTGCCAAAGAGGGGATAACTCAGACCGCATGGATTTCTTGTTATGCAACTCCGCTGACCCGCGCATGCGCATTACAAAAGGGGAGCATTGAGACTGGGGGAGCGCTGAGACTGTCACACCGGTTGATCCAAGCAACGAGAAACTTGATAAGGTTACCAATAAAACGAAATATGTATGCTATATTTACAACAATGTTAAATAGTCTATAGATTATTAAAGGAGGGGAAAGAAAGGGGAAAGAAAGAAAGACCCGTCAATTACAAATTATAGTAAGTCGAAAATTTTCAGTTTCAACGTGTGGCTTGCTTGATTGATATTTTGACCCTCAAGAATCAAGATTTCTTGTTTATTCGGTCATGGTTTTTAGCATAAATACAAGCATGCGGTTATGTCATAGTTCGGTTATGAGATGTTCGATTACTCCACGTTATATAGCTATACTATATGCAGATACGATTTATAATTCAATAATATTACTACTTCATTCTAACCATTTTTCTCAATTAAAATTCTGACAAA